AGTTTGTCCGGCGAATTTAGTATTAAAACGCCAACCCAGAACAAAACTCTCCTTACTAAAACCAACATTTTTAAGAGGGAAGAGAAGAGAAGATAAAATCGATGGAAAAGTGAAAATATACCAGGATAGTAAAAGAGGAATAATGAGAAGATTCTATGAAGGCCAAAAAGTACTTACCTTTGATACTCGTGTCAACAGGTGGATTCCTGGAAAAATTGCAAAGGTCGTCAGTCCAGTTACATATTTAGTAATGGTGAATAATCAGGTACGATATCTTCATGCCGATTACCTAAAGATGTCCATATTAGAAGAAGAGATAAATCCAATTGTAAGACCGTACATACAAGGGAGTAACCCCAGTCCTTCGGTCAGCGTTGAGAAGGCTCCGGATGAGAATGTTCAGGAAGAAGTGATTGAAGACTCAAGTGTTTCTTTACCTGATAGTCCAAATCCTGACCAAGCACCTAAAAGTCCTGCTCCAGTTTCTATAACGCCTCAGGTACTCAGACGTTCACAAAGAACCATAAAGGCGCCCTCTAGGCTTGATTTGTAAAGGGGGAAGAGTGTTATGTATTGGGTTAAGTTTAGTAAGTTAAGTTGGTACTATAGAGTTGAGAGAAAAGTGTCACAAAAAGGTCGTTCAATGTCTCTTGTTATGTTGTGTTCAATAAAGACTAATTAACGAATTGTGTATAGTCAATGGTCCGGTCACACCTCGTGTAAAGACACAACACTTACTTTTAGAGGAAAATGCAAATTAAAAAAATAAAATAAATAGTTTAACTTTTCAATACAAAACTTCTCAAAACCAAAGCAACTTTAAGCCATTTTGGCCAGTGTAAGTTAAAAAAAGAAAAAAAAAATTTTTCAATCCGTTATGGATCTTTTAAACTTTTGACACCCTCAACAACCATGAAGATGGTTACGGATCAAAACCAAAATAGGACGTTTTCGGGCATCCTGCGCAATCCAGTCTCGTACGACTTTCATTACATCCGTGATGGCGGAAAGCCATTTCTATTGTTTCTAAGATTGTTTTGTCAAACGCCTCTCTATATCTAGGAATACTCCCGTGAGGACTGTTTATAGTGCGCCGGTCTCTCAATCCGTCCTACGACGCAGTGCAGGGCTGATTCTGTAGACCTTCCTGGGGAGTATACGTGTTGGTTAGGGTGCAGTGGAAACTGTGTTAGCTTTGTATCCTTATGTACCTATCCCCACAGTACCCTCACTTTTAGACAGAAAAACCCATAACTGAGCCCTCTTCCCTCCCTGGCGATTGAGTTAGCGTGGTCCTTTTCCTCAATGCTGAAAACTATCAGCCTCCCCAAAGGTGATCTTGTACGGCACCCACAAATTGTGGGAGGTTGCCAACCACCTCCTTCAAGGGGAATGGTTGTTCTCGTACGATATTCTTAGGATCTCACCTGAGTACTTCCAATCCCTGAACGTGGCTGCTAGTGTAGCGCCTTTTAGGATGAACAGATGCTGGTTCAAGAACCTTGGCCAGGTGATTTTGTACCATATCCGCCTGGTTAGCCTACCCAGATGGTTATTGGTATTTATGATCACCACCTTCATCTGACCTCTGCGTCTTTTTCTCTCCGCCTACTCGTTTTCCTGCTCGACCGGAGTTAGCTCTAGGAGCTCGCCGCCTCTTGGTCACAGTTGAGTCACAGGAAATGGATGGTTTGGAGATGACGTCTATCCAGACGCCAGGCCAGGGCTACCAGTAAAATATATCTTCTAGAGGATAGCAGAAAACAGGCCTGATTTCGCTTCGAGGTAGGTCATTCGAGAACGGTCTACCTTTGGCTAGTCAGTTTCCTGCCACTAGCCCTCCAAATGCTCACCCAGTCGGTGGTCTGACCCGATGAGTCAGCCGATTGATCATGGTGTGTTAAGCCTGTGTTAACTGAACCACTCAAGCCCCACAACCACGACAATGCCCATCACTGAGGGGGTCACTATGGGATTTATTTGTAGAACATGTGATGTACCCAGCCCAGCCCCGAGTGACTGCCCAACTCAAGATTTACTCGTAAATTCAAAACTTACCCTCCCAAACTAACTAAACCCCATGGCACGTGATCGTGTAGACAAAGCTAGGTACCTAACCTGAATAATAGGACCACTTACTACGTTGTGTTTTTAAGAGTCACTACAAGATATGTGTTGCCTGTCGGAGTGAGGATCAAGTAAGGAATACAAAAATAAAACCAGTACATGCTTTAAAAACGGAGATTTAATCCAAATACTTCGCATCGCATTATTAAATTTAGAAAATGGTAGTTCACCAAGTACAAATATAAAAATAGGCTGGGGAAAAAAGAACTGACCAAGAAAAAACCCAGCCAACAAATTAATATTGAACTTTATAGCAAAATTAGTTATCTGTAATGGCATGAATGCATATTATGATGGTTGTCAAGTAAATTAATATAAGGTTGATTCACAGGCTCCGCTGGAATTCCTAAAGAATTAATATTTCATACACGTAATAAAAAAACAATCATTAAAACAGTACAAAAAAAAAGAAGAAAAAAAACGGAAATACTGTGGCCCATGTGAGACTCGTCATACAACGTTCACCCCACTTGTAACTTCCACTGATGGTGTTTTTGCCCCACAATTGACATCTTTTATAAGACACCTGGGTGAGGTCCTTGCTGATCGATGGACCAGACCCCTATCTATAGTAATGGGTTGGCTACATGCTAGAATAAGCATAGCAATAATCAGAGCCACCAGCATGTGTATCCGTGGTACCCGCCACAAATGGAAGCGTACATATGCCTACGAAGATGGAGCCGCCCTCCCCACTATCCCATAATAATACACATTTATATTTATATTTATTTTTTTTAAGTTATTTTTATATTATCCACATTAATGGCTGTCATTTTTCAAACTAATATATCTTATCTTAAAAATAATAAAAAAAAAATTAAAACAGTACAATAAATTCACATAATAAGTTTGGATATTGGGTGATCAGTCCAAATCCCACACCGAGTAGTCTTTAGTTGCTCTGGTCATGACATGTCAACATTGTATGAAATCGATAGGAGTTGGCCTCTCAGAAGAGCATTTCACACAGGAAGGATACCCCAATGGATCCAAAAAAAACAAAGGGCACAACGGGAACACGCCGTACGCTTTGAGCAGATCCCTGTACAAGTGAGGCCGGGACTTGCCTGGTCGGGTTATAAATTACCGAACTCCAGGCTCTCTACCATGAGTACTGACAGTAACCGATCAAAAGACAAATCATGACATAACAAAAATAACAGAGCAACCAACGACAAACTCCCACGCATACATAATTATAAACAAAATATACAGAATTTATGTAGGCGTTGACAGTTGACATATTTGCACTGGCATAACAAACACTGATACAAAACCAATATTCGGTCACTACATGTCGGGGATCGACTAATCGGATTAATTAGCAATATCGGCAAGATACAAGACACAAAAAAACATAAAAAAAAGATATATCTCTGCGTATGACAGTTCTGAACTTTAGCCAGCCTCTGCTACGTCAAATCGAAATTAAATATCGGTATCAAATATCAGTATCAAATATAGCACAGTACATATTCGAAACAAGTCACCCTGCCAAATATTAATAATCATGATCACCCGGTTCAAATAAATAGTAGGAGCATAACGATAGTATCACATTACAACAAAAACAAAGAAACATGTGTGGCAAATATTAGTATAAGGTAATTAATTCTTAATGCCAAGTGCAATATGTAAAAATCAACCACCTAACGTACGTCACTCGCCCCCAGATAAAGCACCCTGTAAATAAACAGTAACATATTCAGGCAAAAATCAAAAGCGAAATGTGCTGCAATAAATTCAATTATACATTAAAATGTAGTTCTGCTTACTTGTATTGAATATCGCCCCTAAGGGAACATACAGTATCTAAATATAAATAAAACACGTAAATCGGTCAGTAATTCATGTAGCCAGCGCTTGGAACAAAGGAGTAAATTGGAAAACAACATATTTATGTAGAATCTCTATGCATTTAATTCAAAGTATGACCAGTATATTTAAAAGTGCAAATTGTATCTAGAATGTGTCATAAATGGCAATAATCATGCTGTACTAGAATAACATTGAATTGACAAATAATCAAAACACGATCATATCACTATTAGATGGATGCAATAGACGTAGAGATAAAAAAAACGAGTACATCACCTTTCTAATTGTCGAAGCTGCACTCACTATTTGCAACGTAAAAATTACTTCTGCCCTCAACAAAAACACAAATACCTCTGCCCAAATCTCCCCTGTTTAAACAAATTCTAGACGAAAATTGTTAATATCGACCGTGCTCCGAGACGTTGGGTCGATAGGGATCATTAAGTTCCCTCGCATGGCGTTATATTTGACACATTTATTGTAAATTATGGCCCATTTCAATGTAGAGCCAAGAAGAAAAAAACACGTGCTCCACGGAAACGAAACAAAGCGCAATCTTGACTTTTTTCTTCGCGCCAGGGTCGGTTTCGGGAATATTTAAATCGAATTTTAGCGGGCAAATTCGGTTTCATCACAAATAGTATCCTAAAATAGAATTTTTTTCAAAAACAGTACAAAATATCTAAAGTTATCATTGAACATAAAATGTAGGTCTTCTAATTGCTTATTGATTTGGTTAAGAATATTTTGCAATAACTAATCTCTTTCATTTATTCAAGAAGTACTGCTTCAATCTCGACCAATATCAGTAGGCCTAGATAAGTCTTGCGGGCACGTAGACACACCCATACACCGGTACAGAAGTCATACCAAAAACCACTTCTTTGCACGTTTTAGAGTTAGTAGATCACACCAGACTCAAAGATTAATTACCAAACCTCCTATTATCCTATGAAGAAACACAAAAGTGAAAAGTGGTTGGTAGTACGGAAATGTGTGTTTTTCTTTTCTATTCAAGAATCGAGATACTAATTTAACTTCTTTTGTTTTAGTTAACTTTGGTAGCCAGGGATCATGGAGAATCAGTGTGGCATGAGACATTGCACTACTTAACAGTTTTAGTTATGAATTCGGATAATGAAGCAACATACATTGATTACGAAACAAATACGTATCATTTTTCCATAACGGAAAATAGTCCCCCGAATACATTTGTAGGTGAGAACCATAAATACATTTTTATATGCTTTCTGTTCCATTGTATCGAGAAGATTCTTGAAATTAGCATGATCATTAATAAAAGTGCCAAGGTAACTCTGGAAAGGACGCTGTGCTAATGAAAGTTTATTTTGAACCCAAAAGTATCTATAGTACCTAACTTGAAATTCTGAAAGGATTCAATTAAGAGTCACTTAACCTTTACTAATTCAACAAAGGGACTACAATTGTTCTCTTCAGTGAAACAAAAACATGCTTCTCAGTGGGTTTTAAGGACTTTTCAAAATCATGATATATAATGCGAAATAAAATAGCACTCTCTGCCACTAGGTACATAAGTCATAGGCCAATTTCTCTACCATGGCTGTAAATCTAGTGATCGTTTGTGTTTAAATAGACCTTGCGAAACAATAACATGATTTGTTTTTAGGTCGTCTTAAGCTTATGTCTCGAAATCAAGACAAAACGTCGAAGGTCTATTATTATTTGTTGTCTGATATTGATAATGCCTTCTACATCGATAAACTGAATGGAAGTTTATATACAAGAAAGGGTCTCGACAGAGAGCATATAGATGAATATGAACTACAAATTTTAGCAAATAGCGAACCAGACTTTTATCTGACCAGTATGGAGGAGAATCATATGCTTAACGAAAGTGATACATTGCGTAATGTAGCAACAGTGAAAGTTACTATTCTCGATGTGAACGACAACGGTCCAGTGTTTAATCGTACAGTTTATTATGCGGCAGTTAATTGTATTGCCGACATCAATACTTTTGTTGCAAATGTATCCGCGATCGATTTAGATTTCGGCGTTAACGGATCATTTATGTATTACATTAAATCTTCGAATTTATACAAGTATGACTCGATTCACAGTTCAGGTTCAGTAATCCCATCGCCTTTTGTCATTTCTGAAAGTGGCCAAATTTTCACTGCTACCAATTTGAGTGAGAACAACCAACATCACTTCATCGTAAACGTAGTTGCTAAGGAAATTATGTATCCTGAACGAGAGAGTGACGCTAAAGTTTATGCAAGTATTCAATTTTCTTTCACATTACAATGTTAGAAAATGTACATATCATTCTAGGTATGGATCTTTGAACCGGAACAACTAATACGAATAATCTTATCAAGACCTGTTGAAGAAGTGTTAAAGGAGAAAGACGAAATTGTGCAGGAGTTAACTAACGCTACCAATTCAATAATTATTGCTACAAGCATTAAGAGTCACATTAATGAAACTGGGCAGGTGAATGACGAATGGTAAATTGTACTTTGTCTACTTCTCCAGGTAATCATTTGTTGTAGGTCTGATTTGTACATCTTGTCAGTAAATCGTTCTACACAAACCATAGACTCCGTGTTTGATATACTTAAGATCATCGACGCAAAATATGACTTTCTTAAAGATTATTATGCCGGATTTGCAATTGAGAATGTCCTTCCTGCATTTGCTCAAGAAGAGGAGGAATCATTTGATCCCGCCTTGTCCGCATTAATCGCTCTGGTGGTGGTGTTAACAGTCGGTATTGTCACATTTACGGTTGTTTGCTGCTGTTTGAGGAAGTGTATGATTTCACCTAATGACTTGAAGAAAAAGAAAGATGCCTTGATCAGTAAAGCCATTATTGACGAATTGAATACTACAGAAAACCCATTGTGGATTGAACAGTAAGTTTTGCTTGATACATTAATGTAACAAGTGTAAGAATTATAAATTACGAAAAAAACTTTAGATAAAAGTTTTAGCTGAAATTACAGATATCACAGACATACACAGACAAATATACCTATTTGTGCAGATATACACGAATATACATTTCGGTGTACTTAAAAGCGCCCCTTATTAAGTAGCAGTATAAACATGTTAAGTAAAATTATGGTTATGAATTTATGTATTAGATGTCACTGCAAAAAATGTAGAGCGTTAAAATTTGCACAATTCGAATTCCTTATTATTGGTATTATTACCATTGTTCAATTAAACAATGGTGGCTCAACTGACCTCTTAATAATATTAACAATAAAGAATTCGAATTGTCCAACGCTCTACATTTTTTGCAGAAACGTCTAATGCATAAATCCATAAGCATAATTTTACTGAACATGTTTATACTGCTACTCAATAGAGGGCGCTATTAATTATACCTAAATGCAGTGACTACTACAAACAGTAGAGACAAGCAGCGATTAGCTCCGCCCATCCGTCAGTAAGAGGCAACATTTTTGGAAAATTTGTGTTCTTAAAATACGAATTTCAATATTTTGATCAACATCGATTAAACAAGTCAATCCAAATCGAAAACACTCGCTGATCAAAAATAAACAAAGAAAATGTTCCTCATAATGGCGACCGTATGTATACCACGTGATTAGTAAGGCCAATAAAAATGGATATTCGATTGTCGCCACTGTTTGTAGAATAGTCACTCGATACCTTAATACAGTGACGGTGGTGACAATATGAACCCAGCCACCTTGTTGCAGCGAAAATTCAAAAGGTGATGTTTAGATGTCATGAGATAAAACTATTTTTTTCTCCAACCACCTGAATATAATAAGACGCTATTTTGTGACGGTGTTCGGTACGTAAAATTGACGTTTTGCGGATTAATCGCTTTCACCATGGCAACTGTACAAAAAGTGGATACTTTTGGTCCTAGTACCAAAAAGAAATTGACCTTGAAAGTTGACCAATTAAAAAATTACAATCACGGAGATATGTCACATTGACATCGGTTTACATTGCAGGTTGTAAGATATTTCTATACATACAAATCAAATATTTTTGCATATTCAATGCAAATAATGCTGTTACCTATACGTATGTACATGTATTGAAAATGATTTACGCTCGCTATTTTTATTTAAATCATGTGTAACGTAATTTACATATTCGGTGAACGTAATTTTAATACGTATACAACCCGCCGTCGCGCGTAACGCCATCTACTTAAGACACATTGCACTATTATCTGTCATTTTGAATTCAAAATTTGAAAAAGTTAATTGCAATTAATTTTAATTAAAAAACTGTATTGTAAGTTTTTTATTTCAATACAAAATATAACAATATTAATTGTGTATGCATTAGAAATGACTGAAACTGATAGCGACATGGATTGCACTCCGCCAGAGATTATAGAAACGGCAGAACATGCTACCTCAAGATTTGCTCCCTACAAAGTCACGAGAGGTGAGAAGTAAGAAGTAAGAACGAATAGGTTATAAGTTAACCTAAAAACTAGAGTGGCATGACACGTGAGAACAAGAAAGCAGAAGTTCTTATACTAGTAGTGAAACTGTGACTGAATCTAAATTCGAATATAATTTGAAGTAAAGGGGGTTGGAGAAAAAATTTTATGTTTTATTCGTACAAAAAATGCGTTTTCGGGACTCGGAAGGTTGCTGGACTCCGCTGACGCGTCGTCCAGCAACTATCTTCCTCGTCCCGAAAACTGACATTTTTTGTACTAATGAAACAAATAACTATTTTCACTACTAGCGTCTGATGACGCATGTGATTATTAACCTTTTTTCCACTTGTAAAGTCGGCTTTCTCGGCAGTTGTTCAAAGTGGTTAATAATGTGGACATTATTAACTAGTAGTCAATAATGAGAACTGTCACGCTGTCACTTTTAGAAAACACAACCCGAAATTTCGCTCAATAAACGTTTGGACAAGTTCTCTAAAATGAATAATTGCCGCACAATCCGCCATTTCCAGAGAAATTACATACATAAAATTATCACATTTTGAAAAAATTCGAACGAAATTACTCTTTGAAAATATCTCAATGACAGAACAAAATGCGGCCTGTTTGACTTGTACTTCTACGTACTTGATTGACAAGTTAAATTAAAAAACAAAAAATTCTGTCTTTGTGCTCCAATGATACTCACACGTGAAACTACAGTATGCCATTTTACTGTAATCAGTAATCACCATGTGCTTAAAAAATGAAAAAAAACCGTTTTCGTGCTAAGGTGAGTAACTATTTAGCATTGCGCAGTCTGCGCATGCGCACACCTGATGTTTAAAATATGCGATATGATTGCCTTTACTAGAGGAATCTTTGTTTAAACTTTCAACAAAAAATATCTCTAAAATAAGAAAGTTAACATTGCCCAGTCTGCGCATGCACACATTATTCGTCAAGATTTTCCTTGCTTGAGGTATTGTATTGTATTGTATCGTATGGATGACACTTCCTAGGTGCCAGAACTATAAGCTACCAAATGCGAAAAGAACGAAGTACATACATATCTGGACAACTGTAGGACTAGTTAAGGTCTCAGACGGACGGATGGAAATAGTGCCCAAAATAGCGTAACAATTTACTGAACTCTATTTTGTCTAAGCTGGCTGCTTTATCCCACACGTATTCCAACAAGGAGTACACCTTAATCGATCTGATTTTTAGTACTTCAACACAGTTAATATTATTATTCGTCTAATAAATGCACTTCTAAACACACAATAACTACATACACATAGCGTAGCAGAAACACAGCTTAAATAGTAAGTAAGCTGTGGCAAAAAATCGATGCAACATGGCCGCCGAATCTCAACAACCAATCAAAAATTATACACTATTGTTGCCACTGTCTCTATAAATAGCACAGATCTACACATACACAGATTGGTAACCTTATACATTTTTTGGGAAACAAATTTAGGTATACTTAAAAGCGCCCTCTATTGCGGAGCAGTATAATCATGTACCGTTTAAAACTGTAATATGACGCTTATGGATTTACGCATTAGATGTCGCTGCAAAAAATTTAAAGCGGTAAAGTGTGCATATAATCCAGTTTAATTGTATTTTTACCAGGAAAGTTGTGGGGTAGTTTTGATTTCTTTGATTCTATATGTTTTTTGGGGTGCTGAATCCGAATCTGAGGTTTGCTAACAAAATTTCATGACGCAACATTGAAAAAAATACAAAAAAAGTTGAATAAGATATTTTTTTAGCAGTTTTGTGCTTACAACTCGAAAACTATCAACTTTTCGAAAATAACCTCCCTATCTTATATCTTATCGGCGTGGTAAAGAGTGTAACGTTAATGATGGCAGAGATATACATAGTTTGTAAGTATGCCTTTGCGGTTAGCAATTTGTCAAGACCTTTAAAGCCGCAAATAGTGTCCGCCAACTTCAAAAAACCTTCACGATTCTTTAAGAACCTGCCCTATGTTCGTGTGTATCTGTGACCACAGGGACCCGCTTTTAATATCTCCCTTACGACGAATGAGTAGCTTCAGTGTTAAATTAAACAATTATGGCTCAACGTACCTCCTATACCACTGTAATAGTACGAATATTAAGGAATTCGAATTGTGCAAACTTTAGCGCTTTAATTTTGTTTCAGCGACATCTAACGCATAAATCCATAAGCGTCATATTACAGTTTTAAACGATACATGTTTATACTGCTCCGCAATAGAGGGCGCTTTTAAGTATACCTAAATTTGTTTCCCAAAAAATGCATAAGGTTAGCAATCTGTGTATGTGTAGATCTGTGATAAATAGTATATTTGTGTAACACATAAACTGCATAAGGTTAGCAATCTGTTGTTTGTGTATATGTTACCGGCAAACTGCGAAATCCGGCATTTTGCAAAATCCCTGGGCATTTCGCGAAATGACCAACGCAGCAGGCAAAGTGAGAAATGGAGCTCGAGTTCGCACTTTGCCTGCCTCTCTTTAGGGATTTCGCGAAATGCCGATACATGCAGGCAAAGTGCAAAAGCTTCATCATTTCCCACAGATTGCGCGTACAGCGCGTTGTCATTTGATTCATGATTGTACGACGATTGCGATTTTATAAATACATACGAATTTCTTCTCGATCGAGCATCAATATTGTTGAAAAAAAAATTGTAATTACACTAACGTATTGGGTGTTTAATGCAAATTACAATCTGTACTCCTTCTCTTACGGCTAACCGCTGCGTGGTAAAAGAAATAGAATTAATACTAAAGAGAATATAATTTTCCACTTAGTTAGTATGTTGCTGGTTTTAAATGGCCAAGAAGAATATGTTAGTATATTTGTAAGCAATATTTGGTTTAAAAAATAAAGCCATGCGTGGAGAATACATCAGATTGGGGAAGGTATACTAACGCGACAGGTTTACGTTTGACACCGCTGTACCCGCAATCTGTGGAAAATGGCAGAGCATCCTCACTTTGCCTGAATGTTTGGGCATTTTGCGAACTCCCTAAAGAAGAGCAGGCAAAGTACGAACTCGATCTCCATTCCTCACTTTGCCTGCGGCATTAGTCATTTCGCAAAATGCCTAGGGATTTTGCAAAATGCCGGATTTCGCAGTTTGCCGGTAACATATATATGTGCTGTAATCTTGATTTAGTTGTTATTTTGGGTACTAGGTATTACCATTGTTTAAATGTATTTAAACAATGGTATTACCATGCAAATATGTTACAGTTACAGATAGCTCATTACTTATGGAAATCGGAAAATGAAAGATATAATCTTGTAGCACTATCTTCGCGTCTGTTTTTCCGAATTCCATTTATCTACCTTAAATTTAGTTTCATTTTTTTATTAATTGTAACGGTTTTGTTTGTTTGTTTTTTCAAGCTTTAGCCTTTAGGTTTTGGTATTCATTAATTGCTCCATCTTGCTGGATTTTGTATGTACAAGGGATTTTGGTACTGGTTCACGTCTCTGAAATATCTTATCCTCACATCCTTCTATAGTTAGGTACTTGTTCGAGGCTTGTATCTTTTATTTTACGCTTATTTTCTGACTTTCCCTTGAAATGTATATGTTTGTAACAACACTATAGCTATAGGTACTAGGATTTTTCTTAGTTTAACGCACACTTCATCTGTGTATTATGACGTCATAACTAAGGATTGTTACATAGCATCATTCAATTGATGGAAAAAAATACATATGTAGGCAGCCATAGAAACAGTCCTACATACTCCATTACATCAACGACTTCTATTGACCAATTACTAAAAAAAATGATTTAAAAAAATCATTTTAATTGTTTTTTCGTAATAACAACGCCCACAGTACTTATCAGCAGAAGTCGAAAAGCGACTGCCACATCTGGGTAGCAGTTGATGTTAAAACTGGAGGTTCTGTTTATGTACAAATGGGAAACTCATAATTTTGTGTGTAAGAAAATCTAAATTGAAGGCCATCATGGTTGTTGAGGAAGTTTAAAAGAGCCATAAAGGCTTGAAACAATTTTTTTAATTTTTCTCACATACACTGGGTAATGTGGAATAAAATACTCTACAAAATAGCTTGTTGCAATTTTTTTTGGTGAGTTTTTAGTTTTTGAGAAGTTTTGAATTGAAGAGTTACACTGTCTATTTTATATTTTTAATTTTAATTTATATTAATTTAAATTAACTTACTGTGTTCGATCATGTAGAGGGCGTTCCGAATTGCTGCTTGTGTGAAACCATCAACATCGCTAACGGTTTCTTACATTGCCTTATTTTTTTGTTAATATTTAATGCATTCACAAATCTCTGTAAAATTAAACTTGTTACGTATACGAATTCTTATATTACTAAAGTGTGTTGTATTTTTCTATATTATCGAGTTAATGTAAACTTTGAAAGCTCTTTTATCATCTCTACATTTTTATCTTAATTATAATTATGTAAACTTGATATGACCGAATGAAGGTAGCAAATTCGGCTAAATATTCCCAGAGGGGGGTCTCTGGGCGGAGTGTCCGTTGCGCCCCTAGAAATGGGACTGTTTATTAAAAAATAAAAATTTTATTTAATTGTTCGACCAAGTGTAAATAAAATTGTTTTCACTCGGAAGTGATAAAGAAAAACTATTTCGAGTATTCAATTCATTTTTACCCATAATATTAATATATTCGTCACTCCAATTCTGCAAAAGTGGTTTTCACACAGTATATTAAGTAATACAAATTTGTTTTAGAAAACTGAAAATCTATGAAGAACAAGAACTTACAATGCAAGTGTTCAATGAGCCGGATCAAGCTGCAATGGAAAGGAGAAATAGTAGTGATTATGTCTTAGTAAGTTGTGTTCCGATTAATATGTACGAGTGTGTAACATAAGTCCTAGGATGACAACACTTACGCAACCATTCAACATCCAAACAGAAGGGGATCGGCTCATACTGCAACCTTGTCATTGGGAGATGACATTGCAGATTACGCCACATTATCACGAATACCTCGCCATTCGACTAGTTCACAGGGTTCCCTTAAGGACACAGTAAATGTAAGAAGTGCTTTCCATTAATGGCACTTGATTATCAAGTCTTGCAATTAAGTATTTGTTTCGTATACCACTACCTACATTTTAACTTCTTTTCAGTACTACGAAGCCGCAATGGGTTTTCAAGGCTCCACGTTTCAAGTCCCCGATTCTTCTTTGGGGGACATTGAATCAGAGGAATGTAGATCGCATCGTCATGATTCACAAATGAGTGTGAATAACGAGGGACAATTAGAATATGTAGCCGAACTAATATAGATTTAAATTCGGAAATTTTGGTACTTGGCCATATATGTAAGATATTTATTTTGTTATATAATTTAATAGTAAATTAATGTTTAGTACCTAGTATTATACATAATAGTACATTTTAAGCTGATTATTTCAATTTAAGTGGCGTGATATTTGATTAATGCACATTCTTTTTTAGTTGATTTCTCTTGAAAAATTTTGGTTTTGTACGCTCCTTTTCCATCGTTACAAATTTATTTAATACATGGTATAGTTTTTAGTACTTACATGATTTTGTGTCAATTGCTGATAATTGATTTGTAATATAACATAATAAACACAATCTAGTCATACAGTTGTAACTTGCATACTCTATATATTAAGTAAAGTTATTCTATTTTTAATACGCATTTGCTGTGACCTGGAATTAGAGACCGCATTGCAATAGGCACTAGGAATTAAATTGGTACTTTTAGGCAACACGTTTATTGTCGCTGATGCTTCCATAGGCACTTATTATTTTGCTAATCTGCAGGTAGACGTGTATCGATATGTGAACGGGTGAGTTGGTCAAATGGAAAAACTTCGATGTTGAACTATTTATGGAGGAACTAGAAAAACGATTGGCATTGTGACTACTTTTTAATTATCTTTCTACACCAAATATATATAACACACTATGTAGATACATTTTTTATCAATATGCACTTTCTTGTTACACGATCATAGACATGTGACACAGTAGTACCTACCATTGAATTTAGTAGTACGATGGCCACTTATATGTTTAAACGATTCCGGGACACACAGACTCATACACAAAATTTCATTAAAATCCGTTCAGTCCCAGGCACTGAAGAATTTTATATGTAAAGGTAACACATTTTATTTGAAAGCTAAACAAAAGTTCCATTTTGTTTCATGTATAAACGTCTCGTTTTTTGTCACCTTGGTGACAAAAACCGTGTGCATAAAAGCGACCTTACACCATATCGCATCATAGGCAGTGATAAAGTGGAATGAAAAACGCCTATGAGATAAAATGTGATATGGGTAAGTATCAATTTTACATGGTTATTAAAATGCAAATAATAGAAGAATGATACATTATGAACTACCCTCTGTTATAGTTTGAAATAATATGTTTTTAACTCAGAGTAAGAATTTCTTCTGAGGTTGTTATAACTCAGAGCAAAGATCAGTAGTATTTGCTCAGAGTAATAAATAAAGTACAACGAGGGTTGTTAATATTGTACTAACCTACAATATACCTATTATTGTTTGTTAGGATATAGCGATTATAATTTTCTTTTTTGGTTAATCTTCTAAGTATATGATCATGATCACTCTCCTAGATATATGAATGTAGTATCAACAGATATAAAGCATCCCCACCTATTGTTGATCATGAGTATCCCAGTGCCTAAAAACATTTACGAAAACAAAGGTAGAGACTTCCATAAGAAAAAAAACGGAGTCGAAACATCAGGCTTAAAATTTAAAACTAGCATCTTGTATAGGCTTACCATAATTTTGTGGCACTAAACCGGGACGGAGCCACTAGTAAACACAACAAGTTAAAAAGTAATCGTAAACGATTTACAAAAAACGCATTTCCACTTGCGTTTATTTCCCATTTGTAAAATGCAACTTCTGTTAAAATCGTAAAAATCCGGCCACCAATATGAAAGATAGCGTTGCATATGATGTGCATTCTATTTTTGACTTGCTACTTCAATTTCAGTTTATAAGAAGAATTTCATTTCAATGCTATTCTAAATAAGAAATTTAAAACTGCGCATGCGCAGACCTAAATTTTGAAACTAACGTTAGATTTCCCTTTGTTCCAAGCACCTATGTATCAAATTTAATTTAAATCCTTCCATAACTAAAAAAGTTGGCACAGCGCATGCGCACCACCAAATTTTGAAACTGGCGTTAGATTTTCCTTTATTCCAAGTGCCTAGGGTTGCCATCTCAAAACTCTACCAACTAGGACAGGAAGCGTGAAAACCCCGGATTTAGGGATTATAAACCCGGACATATCAACTGAATTTGATAAAAAATATTTTCTAAAGAAATAAAACAAACAATTAATTTTTCTAAATAAAACAAGGCGTACTCTATCACGAAACTATAATAGTAATCTTCTTTAACTGTTAGGAATCAGCAACGGCTTATCTACATTTTTAAATTCTTTAAATGAAGCAATAATAGGTATACTTTTTTAACAAAATAAAATACAAGTTATAAGAAGCTAATAACAATAATTTTTAAATGAAACAAAAATTTGATCTTTTAGTAAAATAAAATGTTTAGGGAACTATTTACTTTTCAGGTCTTCGGTATTTATCCGTCTTTCCAATAGCGTTTAGAATATCTTCCTTCCTTAATAGTTATTTATGCAATGAGTGTATAAATGAGGCGTTTTATTGGTGAGTGAGATGTTTAGTCCACGAGACAATGGCCCATATGAATAAAAGGGAGCATATGCTTATACTTGCAAAATTCAAAGTAAATATACCCGTAAGTGCTCCTTAAGAAACCAGTATGAAGGGGCACTTACGAGTATTTACTTTGAATTTTGAAAGAATAAGCATTTGCTCCCTTTTATTTGAAAATACCTGCTTTCCTTAACGCCTTGATTTAGTTTTAATTCATTGTAAAATTAGGTAGTAATGAAAAAGTAGTGAGTTGTTTTTCGTTGCCATGAATAGTTAGTTGTAGTCATAGAACAACAAACTTAGAATGGAAACTCTAATGTAATGTAAAAATGACGCGCCATCTCGTGTATGTTCTCAGCAGCTTTTGCGTGAATGGCGCCAAATTTAAATATTAAAATGTAAGCTACGTCCGCATTATACTGCATTTCTCCGGATCTGTAACAATAACATTGGATTTGACTAACTGAAACCTAAAAGGTAAATGAATCCAGCCAGTGAAGTCCAATTTTGTTTGTTAGGGATCCAGATAAATTCAGTTTAATGCCGATGCACCTCAACAGTCAGGGGCTTCAAAGAGTACAGACCACTTTATAAGTAACAACTCCAATTAATCCAATCAAAGAGTTATATTTAATTTAATATGGATATACAAGATACAAGATCAACTTCATGGAACTCTACACTTTATGATGCTCTCAAGATCGTTCTAAAAACAAAATATGTAGCAATTTATTACAATTCAATTAGTGTTACCTGCTAAAGATAATGTGCGAACTGCCACACGCTTTAATTAAACCTCTTCGTGTTCCAGGTTCTAAAGCGCAACCAGAAAAATGACGTTCACAAACCAAAAACTTTTGTGTAAATTTCTTCCACATTATATTCTAAACCAATTCTATAAAAACTTCGGGCTCCATTTTGGGAAACGTCTTCACAATTTGTCACACAACATTTACGTTTTCGATTTGTATATGCATAATTCATTGTAATAATGAATAGTAATTATACTTAAAGCACAATAAGCTGTCAATCAAAATTCAAAATTCAACTGTCATAATGGCGACACGTACTAAAGTCACTAGATTTAGTAACTTTAACAAGCGCGCTAAATATGCGCCATCTATTGAATGTTCTCAAAACTAATTATATTGGTACTCAGTTGTTCCCGTTTACGTTTCCCTTCTTAGTTTTTTGTTCTGGGGTTGTAGTAACACAAAAATCGCTGATTGAATCTGTTTCATTTTGGTTATTACTTTTCCATATTTTTGCTCATTTTGTGTTCATTAAAGTGTTTTCTACTTTCTTTGAGTTTCGCTTCTTAAAAAAACTCCAAAAGACTGTTTCAATATTCAATAAATTTCTTTATTTTGGCCACTGTTGTGCCACTCTAATAGTGAAAATATTCTTTCAGCGTTGTCATTATGAGCAGGATTGCAAAAAAGTGGTAGTTTAGCTTGTTGGCTTAAATTTTGACAGAAAGATTTTTAATTCACCTACTCAGTACCTCAAACCCGGACTACCATTGAAAACCCCCCCGGACGTCCCTTAAACTAGGACAAATCCGGGGAAATCCGGACGGATGGCAACCCTACAAGTGCCTATGTATCAATTTCATTTAAATACTTTTATAAATAAAAAAGTTTGCAATTCGGTTTATTAATGGTCGAGATGCGAAAAGGGCACTGTTAATTTTGAATCCATTCGACTCAACTGCCCATATTGAATTTCATGCTATTCAGTTCATAACTAACGGAGATGTAAAAGCAATCGGACATTTCTAAACAAAGTTATCGTTCACACGGACAGATAGAGGAACAGACAGACAAAGGAACAGTCGGACAGACCAACAGACAGACGACAGACAGCAATACAAAATTATAAACGATCTCTAAGGATCGTTAATAAACAGCAAAAGTGTAAAATTATGGAACATGTAAAAAACGGTTTTTTGGTTTTTTTACAATAACTTTTTTAGCAATAAACGCAGAAAAATTCCTTCCACACTAGCGCATTTTTTTTATTTTTGTGGAAATGTACTAAAAATTGTAGGTAAAAAAATGTTTCATTCAAACAACCATTTTACACTCGCATTTGACTCATTTATCATACCAATTGTAGGTACTTTGCGCTGGAGTATACTTTTGTTAACAAATTATTACGTTTCTTAATTTTTTCATAAAAATCGCTACATGTAACACGGTCATTGAGAGGTGCCGAGGGAAAATATTTCCGCTATTAGGTAGGTATCTGAATCCCGCGACTGCAACGCAGCCCCCGTAATTGCTTGTTGTCTTATACTCTTGTCCCATATTAACACGCTTTTCGGCATTTCACGTCTTTTACAACACTGATAAATGAACTCGGTAACAATCATTATTAAAATTCAAACGCAGAACAACCGGGATCAAATGGCAAACAGGCCGGGACATAGATGTGAATCAGAGACAATCCCGGTCAAACCGGGATGTATGGTAAGTGTCATTTATTTTGAAATAAATAACTTTATTCTATTTTAAATAACTTCGGTAAAAAATAAAAACGATTTTGCAAAAATTTCCTTTTTTTTCAAAATTATTTCAATTTCAAAACTGCATCAAAATACGCAACTTTACCAAATTTACCTACCTATTTCTTACAGTTTCCTAGATCCCCATGGTGGTCCTTAAATTTGAATCGACCTGTATAGTAGAAGGTCTGGAATTGAGTGTAACAAAATTTTATATTTAATATTGTGTAAAAAGCTAATTCCTTTGAAACTCAAATTCTAATTACCGAGACCCTCTCATGTATAATAAATCGAATTTGCGAGTAGGTACAAAAATTCTAAAAACTTAAATCATTGATTATACGTGTATAATCAATGCTTAAATGGACAACTGGATTAAGTATTCCTTTTTACCAAAGTTAAAAATATATAAGAGAACCAGCCACAGAAAGAAACTCCCCCCGAGAATACTCGACACAATGTGAACATTAAACTTACACTGTGCAAGGATAAGCATTAGTAGGTACACAATTGCAAGATGCACATTGTCTGGGTCAGATTTTAAGTGTAAATAATGTACAATAATGCTGGTCATTTATTTTAATAAAAACATTAATTCACAAAAATTAACGTTTTCCTCCAACACGGGGTGCAGATTTTTGTGTAACCTTTGCGGCCTTTGTTTTTTGATGCAGCTTTGGTTTTGGTGGTGCAGTTGCTTTCTTTGCCGCTTTTGTAGACTTCTTTTGTTCTTTTGCAGCTCTACAAAAATATGGTTATAAACTTCCAACTTTCATTTTTAATTTACTCACCGAATAGCCTGTTCACGCTGTGCTTTCCTTACTTCCGGCCTCTGGTTACGTTTAGCCATAATATCATTTAAAGAGGCACCGACAATAGCACGTTGGAATTTTTGTGTCCTACGTGTACGCTTTCTGGTAGCTTCCTCTTCCTGACCTTTCTTATGTTTCCGTCTAAAAGGGAAATTAGCAAATGTGAATCCACTTATACAACAAAAAGAATGTACTACCTGTAAAGTACGGTCCAGGTAACTTTACGAGGATTGCGTTTCATTAAATGTGCGGCTTCACATTTTGAATTTAAGAACGTAAACGACTGAAATAAAAACGGTATTGAACCAAATATAACGTAATTAACTAGTAAGTACCTTTCCGTCTACTTTAACCAATGTTTTTCCATGTCCAGGGTAAATTTTATACCCACTGTATACACACAAACCAATCCTAAAATAAAGAAAGAGAAGTAAGTAAATATACAAAATATAACGAAAAATATAAAAACTATATATTATAATACATCGATGATTGAAAATAAAGAAGATATGTAAAATCTTACTTCATGTTGGATGATGGTATGAACTCCGAAAATCGTAAAGAAAACTTTCACAATTACCAACTGTTGAACTTGAAAATGTAACTAGAAATTTTAGCATTGCTACCAATACTCAATATATTTAAAGTTCGATGACATTGGCTGCATTCATTTTAGCGACGTCAGTATCTATTGTGGGTAAAATTCGGGGTGTGTTGGGTAATTCGCACATGTCTATAGGCGCTTTCTTTCGGTGATCCAAACGCGTTTGGATTGTCACATCACGTTCTTTCGAAATGTGATTTTATGATCATGATTGCTAAAATCGTAAACAAACTGAACATAAAAGTTTTATGATCACGAATTCCTAACCTATAAATGCAAGGATATTTTTGCTCAAATGTTCGATTAGTCAATATTTGTAACTGAAGAGGGGCATAATTGTGCAAGTACTTCCACTTGTATTTATTTTCATAATCCAAAAAAAATACGTAATTCGAATGCAAATGTGTACTACGTAAACTCAACCATACTTTGATTTAAATTCGCGCGTTCTTTCGTAAAACGTGATCCTACGAATCACGATTTTGAAATCATGATTGCTAAGCAGCCGAAAGAAAGCGCCTTATGTGCATTGATCTCAATAAAAAATCGATGAGCAATTCAGCAATGTCGTGTTTCAATAATACGAAAATTACTATCTCGCGCAACGTATTCAGTTCATCCGTTGCGTTGATCCGTTAAACGGATTTATGCGTAATTCACGGTACGGGTACAGTATCGTGGTATAATCAAAGAGTAACCATTGTATAATAGGGTAGATGACAAATTTTTTAAAACCTGTTATAACTGTTCGTACACCTCAACTATAACTTTAAAATATGATATTACAGCAAAATAAACCATATTATTGCAAATTTATGCAATTTGAATTGTAGGTTTTTATTTTAGCGCCAAAACGCTGTTGTGTGTCATGGCAGTGTCTGTGACGTCACAGTCCTGACAGTTATAAACACATAACCCCAGCGTAAATAGTTTAAAAGATTTCGTGATGAATTATAACTACTATAAGTGGTGCCCTACCATGATGGATACATAGACATGTGGCGCAGCTAAGTATCCCAGGCGGGTGATTGCTATGACTCCATGGATAAAGTCTAATCCATGCTACCCGACCCGATTCCAGTAAATCCGGTTCAAAGGATGCTGTATCATTCAAATGCTTCATAGAGTAGAGGAATCCAAAAGGATTCTCGACGATTGCTCATTAAACGTAATATAGAAAACTATATTAACATGAGTAGCACTTTTTTCACGTACGTTTACTCCTGAGGTGTGCGGTAGACGGCATTTTGAACAACTTTCGATTCCGATTCGGTCATTTGCCGATACAGGAGTAGAGTTTCGAATAATCGGACTCGATCATGACTTGTTACACGTGATAAAGGAGACTTTATCGACACTAGTACTCCGGGTTGTGGAAAGCGTTAGGGACTGACCACTCCAGTCCACTTAATAGGGTTTGGACTCTGAGGATGTGTAAAAGTAGCTTAATGGTAGAGCCAAGAGAATAATTTGTGGGTATTATTTTCCGGGGAAATTTTTCATGGTTCTACTGGAGCAGCAATTGAAATCCGAAGGGATATATAAGTGTTAGCTGCATTTCGCAATTATATGAAGACTACTACTACTGCTGGAAGTATATTAAATTAGACACCAAATAAATTGTTTATATCCGTACCCAAAAAAGAAGCCATACGGAAAAAGTGGCTACAACTTGCATGTCGAGACCCAGCGTATTCAATAAAAATAACACTATTTTTGTGAGGACCACTTTGATGTAAGCTTTATTTTGTATTCACAAAAACCCCCATATGGGATGGCAAGTTGGGGTCGGTTTCTTCGTCGAAAACTAAAGAAACTGCATGCAGCTTTGCGTGAACCTTATGTTCCGGGCAAATTTTGACATAGCTGTGCATAAGTTGCAATCACGCTTAAGAGTCTTCTGTACGACTGCACCCAATGTAAATTTCCATAAGAGCGCCCGCCATAAAAACTCAAGTTGTTTTTCCAAAAAAAAATGTACTA